ACAGCTCTGAGAATACATGCTGAGGTTTATTTGATTAAGGGGACCTGGAGGACTATGCAGACTATGTTACAACTGATAAGTCAATTCAAACATTTGCACCCATCCTGGTTCACAATCAAGGTTCAAAGACTCCGTAATATTTGTAATATCTTCATTGGATTCACCGATGACACAAGGAGAGGCATTAAGAAGAAAAAGTAAATTTAAAAGAAAATCTAGGACAGGAAACGATCTTCATGTTGGGCTGTAAAAAACAGTTTGTTCACAGAGAGCAGCAGGGACCAAAATCCCTGTTTCTTGGAAGTGCACACAATGTCTCAGCTCTCTTTCATTAAGAGGTCTGTTTATTTATTTATTTTATTCCTGCACAGTTGGTGTGGAGCACAATAATTTTCTTGTATATTTATAATAACAAAAAAGGATTATTCTATATCGTTTGTTAAAAGTATTTTTAACGAAGATAAATATTGCTAGTGAACTTTGTTCTGGAGTTGTATATTGTTAATGTTCAAATAGTGTCAGTGGGAGCTGGGTTTTTTGTTGTCTTGTGTGTTTGTTTGTTTTTTGTATAATGTGGAGGACCAACAGCATCTTAGGTTGCGTTTCGATGACAATGTTTTGTTGTATTGTTCTGACTCCTTGAATTATTATTGAATTCCTCCACAGAGTGGACCAGGAGAGCTCGGAGGTTCCCAGTGGTCAGTCTGCCCAGCAGCATCAAACACAGCTGGACTCCTTATTTAAGGTACATGTACAACAACTACATTTACATCTATTCTATTCAGTTATTTCCATGTTGTGAAGTGAATACATCATAAAATTATAAATATTAAGCACAAATCAGAATACGCAAGTTTAAAAAAATAATGTTTTAAGGCTGGCTTTAGAGCTAGGGTGAGAATGCATGTTGTGAATGTGGTGCAGCAGATAGTTCTAAACACCAGTGTCCACTCAGCTGAAGGCGCCAAAGCCCATGATGTGAGCAAATGGTAACAGTAGCAGTGAAGTACGATCTTAGAGTAAAATTAATGTCATACTTTACAGGAATCCAGTGAAGTGGTTGAAGGACAGGAGCAATATGCTAAATAGAAGGTATTCTGGCAACGACACAGGTAGCTGCGTTTTGCACTGGGTGAAGTCTATGGAGAAGTTTGAGTGGTAATCTAGAAAGGATAGAATTACATTAATTAACATGGGAGAATGAACCAGAGAATGAACAAGAATAGTCGTATTGTTAGCTGTGTAGAAGGGTTGTTATGAAAGTTTTAAATAAACTGTAAACACTTGGTGAGCGCCTTTTTAAAGTGGAGTTTATTATATACATTGCAGTGGAGAGAGCATTCAGGTCCGATGCCAAAATGCTGTGTCACGATGGCTGCCACCCTTATATCTTATACACACACAGAAACACAGAGAGACAAAAGGCATTTGACAGCACATGATGTGGTTTTATACCTTCAACTCAAAGTATCCTTGAAACCTTTCCTTCGAGAGAGAGAGACGCCTTTGTTTTTCACTTATCCATCACCTGGAGATTTACCTCTCGAATCCTTGCTACGGCCTGATAAGGGAGGCACCTTCGTTTTTTACCATCTGTTTAACGTCTCCCATGAACTTACACACACACATACACACACACACACACACACACACAGTAGGGCATTTTATGGTGTAATAGAACATAAAGACATATTTGTGGTGCTATCTGACATGTATATAACTAAGTGACAAAGTGATGTTATAATTATTACTAATGTGATCAATACATAAAATAAAGACATTTCCATTACAGGGTGTACCCAGCTGCTGTTATGTAGGTGGACATATACCAACTGAGTGATATTTTGTTTTTGTTTTTTCGTTTAGAGTCGTACGTAGTGAGGAGGTAAAATTATTAAGAAGATAATCGACCTCTGTTGGGGTAGCGTTCAGATAGCTGCTCTGCTCTGTGTTGGTACAGGGCATTGAAGATGATAACAGTGGGTGGATTATATTCTTAAACTTAGTTACAGCGCTTTTAGAAAGACATCTACTTTGATAAAGTCTACTCTCCACCGCTGTGTAATCAATTATTGTAAAAGTAAATGTTATCAGGAAATGATCAGACAGCAGAGGGTTTTCAGGAAACACTGTTAAATGTTCAGTTTCTATGCCATATGTTAAAACAAGATCTAGAGTGTGATTAAAGTGGTGGGTGGATTCTTTTACATTTTGAGAGAAACCAATTGAGTCTAATAACAGATTAAATGCCATGTTGAGGCTGTCATTTTTAGCATCTACATGGATGTTAAAATCACCCACAATAATTATTTTATCTGAGCTCAGAACTAAATCAGATATAAAGTCTGAGAAAGCAGACAGAAACTCTGTGTAAGGCCCAGGTGGACGATAGATGATAACAAGACTGGTTTCTGAGTTTCACAGCTGGGGTGGACAATGTTAAGCATCAGGCTTTCAAATGAATTAAAAGTCTGTCTTGGTCTTTCATTAATTAATAGGCTGGTGTGAAAAATTGCTGCCACACCTCCCCCTCGGCCTGTGCTTCGAGATTTCTGGTAGTTAGAATGACTCGGGGGTGTTGATTCATTTAAACTAACATAATCATCCTGCTGCAACCAGGTTTCTGTAAGGCAGAGTAAATCAATTTGTTGATCAATTATTAAGTCATGTACTAACAGAGACTTGGAGGAGAGAGACCTAATATTTAATAATCCACATTTCACTGTTTTACTCTTTGGTTCAGATGTGGATACTGTATTGTTCTTTCTTTGTAATTGTTTATGTTTAAGTTGTTTGTTGATGGTTTTTAGTTTGGTTTTTGTCTGTTTGGAAGCTGACACAGTCTCTATGGAGATGGGTTTTTGGGGGGGTAGCAGGAGGAGAGAAGCTGCAGAGAGGTGTGTAAGACTGCAACTCTGCTTCCTGGTCCCAACTCTGGATAGTCATATTTTGGGGGGTTTAATAAATTTGTCCATATTTCTAGAAATGAGAGCTGCTCCATCCAAAGTGGGATGGATGCCGTCTCTCCTAACAAGACCAGGTTTCCTCCAGAAGGTTTGCCAATTATCTATGAAGCCCACATCGTTTCTGGGACACCACTCAGACAGCCAGCAATTTAAGGAGAACATGCGGCTAAACATGTCACTCCTGGTCTGATTGGGGAGGGGACCAGAGAAAACTACAGAGTCCGACATGTTGCACACCGATTCAATATTGATTTTAGTGACCTCCGATTGGCGTAACCGGGTGTCATTACTGCCGACGTGAATTATGATTTTACTGAATTTACGTTTACCCTTAGCCAGCAGTTTTAAATTTCCTTCAATGTCGCCTGCTCTGGCCCCTGGAAGACAATTGACTATGGTTGCCGGTGTCTCTAGCTTCACATGTCTGAGAACAGAATCGCCAATTTCCAGAGTTTGACCCCCGGTGGGTGTGTCGCCGAGTGGGGAAAAACGGTTAGACACATGAACGGGTTGGTGGTGTACCTGGGGCTTCTGTTTAGGACTATGCTTCCTCCTCACCGTGACCCAGCCGCCCTCTTTCCCCAGCTGATTGGGGTCTGCCAGGGAACAGCTAGCGGGGCCTACGCTATCTTCGGCTGCACCAGCTACAGGGGCCTGGCTAGCTACGGGTGAATGAAGGGTGCGAAGCAGAGTCTCCAATTCAGTAATCCTGGCCTCCAGGGCTGCAAATATGTTATATTTCTTACAGGTATCAGTACAGTCAGTACACAGAAAGTGTGCTTCGGATGAAGCACGTGAAGATTATACTATGAAAAAAATAATGTATTTAAAAGTTTTTAATTAAATTGCTAAGCAGATAAGCTACTCAGAAACACCACTGTGTTTGAGCAGGAACAGGAAGCGATTAGGACTGGGCAATATGACCCAAAATTCATATCTCAATATTTTTTAGCTGGATGGCGATATAAGATGTATATCTCAATATTATTTTAAATCCATAAACTAAGAACAAAAATAGTTCTTAGTCAAAGCTGTGTCCCAGATGTCACACAGGCACTTTTATTAACATACAGCTTAGATGTACATGAAAAAAAAACTACTCAAAAATAAATTATCAGCATTTATTAAATAATAATGTGCCATAAATAAAACTGTTGTTTTTGTGCATAACAAAGAGCTCACAATTGTGCAGTCAAAATGTAAACTAAAAGACGCTGAGCACAATAACAAAGACAGATTTCACAGCTGCTCTGTTCCCAAGCTCTACTGCTTGACTGACAGCCTGGAGTTTGAAATCCACTGTGTAACAGTGTCTCTTAACAGGTGCCATTTATGGTCCTTATACACACACAATACTGTAATAATACGTTGAAGCACAGTACGTATTACTATGCGAAACTCCTCGATAGCCGTAATGCTCCGACAATCCATCAAGCGGTGCAGCTCCGTAGCTTAGCAAAGTCATACTAAAAAATTTTTTGACAGATTGCTGAGTGCTGTGTAGCACATAAAATCGGTTCGCAGTCATCGAGCACAACCAGAATTCATACAAAAGGCACGCTGTCAACTTTTGAAAGAATGAAAGGATTTTAGGCTGTGCAGGCCCTGTGGGCTGCATGGCGTTACCGTGGTTAGCATAGTTAGCTCATTAACACGTTGATGCCTTCCAGCCCCACCACGGGGCGCTGCGCAGTAACTCGTTAACGGAGATTTGTTGTGTCCATCTTGTCGCCGCCTGTCGCTCCCTGCAGATGAAGGGGGGGAGGGGAAGTTGTGTTCAGTGAAGGAGAGAGGCAAGGTCGAGTAACGTTGCATAAAGATAAAAGTGGACGAAAGAGAGGCAAACTTGTGGCTCCACAACTATAATTATAACGTAACAAAGACTATATCGATATAAACGATATTGTCACATCGTATATCTTGTATAAAAATATATAGATTTTTTTTTTTTTTTTTTAAAAACTCAATATATCGCCCAGCCCTAGAAGCGATGCTCTACCACAGAGCGAGCGAACACCAAGTGACAGCGCCATCAAGAGTCAGGCAAATATTCACTCTCCCACCGTGTCTGAAATTTCCTGCACTCACTTTCTACCTTTTGCTTCTTTGGTTCTGCCATGTTTAGTAACTTGGGGTAAATTTCTTCTGTGATTGTCCTTTTTGGTGGCGCAACTGCCTTGATCAACAGTAGCTCCCCCTGGTGTTAAAACTAACAAGTGCAATACACTCAAGCAAAAGTTGAAGTGCGGCCCATATGCTATTCTATTTATAAAATTACTTGCGGGCCAGTAAAAATGGGCCCGCGGGCCAGAGTTTGGACACCCCTGTACTAAACATACTTGATGCTTTTAATGTTTTGCAGTCTGTCACTGGTCCCACACATAAACGTGGACATACTCTGGATCTGTTTTTTTTTTTCTTTTTCACATGGTTTGCCTGTTTATAACCTTAAAATTTATGATGACATCTTTTCTGATCATATACCTGTTTTATTTGAAACTTCTTTTCCCTGTATTATCGCTACATGTGGTTTTATCTCTTTTTGTTTTACATGCATTTGTGACAGGGACACACAAACATGAGCACATTACCCCACATTACTCCTTACCTCTTTACGCTGGTTATCTGTCCATCTTAGAATTCAGTTTACACTTTTATTGTTTGTTTTTAAAGTTTTAAATGGCCTGGCTCCTTCTTACCTGTCAGACCTTCTACACCGATACACTCCACAAAGGTCTCTCAGATCAACTGAGAAGTCACTCTTTCCTGTCCCCATGTCAAGATTGAAACACTGGGGAGACTGGGCGTTCGCTGTTGTGGCCCCAAATTATGGAATAAGATACCCCCATATTAGACTGGCCCCAAAACTTGAGAAATCTTCAAATCACTTTTAGAAACACACCTTTTTTCCAAGGATTTTTAGAAGTAGTATCAGAGTCAGTTTTACTCAGTTTTTGGTTGCTCTTAATCTTTTTTTTACTTTTTTTTAATATGCTTTTTTACTTCTTTTTACTTTTAATATTTCATAGTTACTGATTTTTTTTCCCCCCATTTATGTATTTATGTATGATATCATTTCTGCCTTGTTTGACCCATTTAGCAGAAGTCAGCCTGTTATCTACTTTGTGTGACTTAAAGCTTTTGTGATACAACTGGCTTTGTTGTGGTGTGATTTGGTCATTCCTTAAGTATTCTATTCCAGCTGCTGGAGGATAACATCATCACGTTTGTGAAGAGTGAGTTGAAGAAGATCCAGGAGGTTCTGACTCCAGATGACCTAAAAGGCTTAATGAGTCAATGCAAGGATGGCAATTTATTGCAGGGTGAACATGAGGAGCCTAGTGAAAGCAGCAGAGAAGCATTTGTGAAGATCACATTGGATTTCCTGAAGATAATGAAGCAGAAGGAGTTTGCTGAGTGTCTGCTGAGAAGTGAGAATATTTCTCTAAATATTTATGGTCCTCAGTAAAGGAAATTTTTATTCTGTCTGAAGGAACAGACAAAATTACATTTACAGTATGTGCAATTAATAAATCCTTCATTGTGGTATTTTGTCTATTGGTTCATTTAGGAACCTCGCCCAGAAACTTCCAATGGTGTCAACATGAATTTAAATCTGCACTGAAGAAGAAGTTCCAGTGTGTGTTTGAGGGGAACGCTAAATCAGGAAACCCAACCCTTCTGAATCAGATCTACACAGAGCTCTACATGACAGAGGGAGAGACTGTAGTGGTAAACAATGAACATGAGGTCAGACAGATTGAAACAGCATCCAAGAAACTGGATGGTCTAGAAGCAATAATCACAAAAGAAGACATCTTTAAAGCCCCACCTGGAAGAGATGAACCAATCAGAACAGTGCTGACAAAGGGATTGGCTGGCATTGGGAAAACAGTCTTAACACAGAAATACACCCTGGACTGGGCTGAAGACAAAGCCAACCAGGACATCCAGTTCATATTTCCATTCACTTTCAGAGAGCTGAATGTGCTGAAAGAGGAAAAGTTCAGCTTGGTGGGACTTGTTCATCACTTCTTTACTGAAACCAAAGAAGCAGGAATCTGCAGCTTTGAAGACTTCCAGGTTGTGTTCATCTTTGATGGTCTGGATGAGTGTCGACTTCCTCTGGACTTCCACAAAACTACAATCCTAACTGACCCTAGAGAGTCCACCTCAGTGGATGCGCTGCTGATAAACCTCATCAGGGGGAAACTGCTTCCCACTGCTCACCTCTGGATAACCACACGACCTGCAGCAGCCAATCAGATCCCTCCTAACTGTGTTGACGTGGTGACAGAGGTCGGAGGGTTCACTGACCCACAGAAGGAGGAGTACTTCAGGAAGAGATTCAGAGATAAGAAGCAGATCAGCAGGATCATCTCCCACATCAAGACATCACGAAGCCTCCACATCATGTGCCACATCCCAGTCTTCTGCTGGATCACTGCTACAGTTCTGGAGGATGTGCTGAAAACCAGAGAGGGAGGACAGCTGCCCAAGACCTTGACTGACATGTTCATCCACTTCCTGGTGGTTCAGGCCAAAGTGAAGAAGGTCAAGTATGATGGAGGAGCTGAGACAGATCCACACTGGAGTCCAGAGAGCAGGAAGATGATGGAGTCTCTGGGAAAACTGGCCTTTGATCAGCTGCAGAATGGAAAACTGATCTTCTATGAATCAGACCTGACAGAGTGTGGCATCGATATCAGAGCAGCCTCAGTGTACTCAGGAGTGTTCACACAGATCTTTAAAGAGGAGAGAGGACTGTACCAGGACAAGGTGTTCTGCTTCATCCATCTGAGTGTTCAGGAGTTTCTTGCTGCTCTTCATGTCCATCTGACCTTCATCAACTCTGGACTCAATCTGCTGAATCTAGAAACACCTCACGTATTTAAAACCCTCGGAACAAAATGCAAACTACATTTCTTCTACCAGAATGCTGTGAACAAAGCCTTACAGAGTCCAAATGGACACCTGGACTTGTTCCTCCGCTTCCTCCTTGGTCTTTCTCTGCAGAGTAATCAGACTCTCCTACGAGGTCTGCTGACACAGACAGGAAGTAGTTCACAGACCAATGAGGAAACAGTCCAGTACATCAAGATGAAGCTCAGTGAGAATCTGTCTGCAGAGAAAAGCATCAATCTGTTCCACTGTCTGAGTGAACTGAAGGATTGTTCTCTAGTAGAGGAGATCCAACAGTCCCTGAGATCAGGAAGTCTCTCCACAGATAAACTGTCTCCTGCTCAGTGGTCAGCTCTGGTCTTCATCTTACTGTCATCAGAAGAAGATCTGGATGTGTTTGACCTGAAGAAATACTCTGCTTCAGAGGAGGCTCTTCTGAGGCTGTTGCCAGTGGTCCAAGCCTCCAAGAAGGCTCTGTAAGTAAATATTTACTCATATTTTTTTTTTTTTTGTTATCAGCGCAATGTATTGTTCATAGTAGAATAAATTGTTAGCGTTTCTGAAACTTTTTTGAGTGTAGCCTTTATAAAAGTACTTTCCAGACCTGTTCTACAGTGGGCTTACAGCTTTTCATTAACTACTCAAAAATGAATACAAACCAGAGCTAAAACCGCCTGTTTCAAAAAGAAGATGAATGTGGGGTCTCATCAAGGTTGAGAATGGCATAAGTAAGGATTATTTTTGAAGTCTATCTGGCAACAACAATCATATATATTGTAATTTGAAAAGTTTTTTATACCTGTGGCAGAGGATACTGGTCTTTTACTAAATGTTGCATGTCTAGATATAGAGGTATAATTGTGTTGTTAAGCAAATTAAAAAATGTCATCTATATATTATTTCCAGACTTGAATTTGAAGGTGTATTTATATTAATTACGTCCACGTGGAAACATTTGTTTATTCCGTAGTAGGTTGAAACAAAAGGTAATTTCATTTAATCACAAATATAATTTATTTTCAGATTGTCTGGCTCTAATCTCTCAAAGAGAAGCTGTGATGCTCTGTGCCCTTTTCTCATATCCCATACCTCTACTGTGATGGAACTGGACCTAAGTAACAATGACCTGCACGATGCAGGAGTAAAACTTCTGTCTGCTGGATTGAGTCCAGATTGTCCACTCAAAAAACTGAGGTCAGGATTCAGCCTTTTTCATTGATGTAAATTTAAAATCTGTATTATATCATGGCATGAACAAAAACCTTACTGAATTCTAAATTGAACTTTTATTTACATTCTGTATCACCAGCCTCTGAATTACTGTTTGGTTTTTGTTTTTTCAATTTATTCTTGCATATTGGTGACTCTGTTTTTAAAAATGTGAATTTGGACACTCCAGCAATCATAGTTTATTATATTCCTGGGTCAAGATCAGGTGACACTGAAACAAATTTCAAACTGCAACAGGGGCCGCAGGTGCACATTCGCTGTCAAAATAAAAGACGCGCACCAGATAAGAAGTTGCAACGCGCATTTGCGTACATATACCGCTTCTTTTGCATTTCAGACTCCTTCTGACATTTCTTTGTAGTTGGAGGAACACCAAAGTAATTTCTTAAAGGAGCTTGCTTCTTTGACGTCTTTAAGAGTTCTAAACAAATGTCTGTCCTCCTCCATAAAATTGTACGTACATAAACAGCGTTGCAACTTCTTATCTGGTGCGCGTCTTTTATTTTGACAGCGAATGCGCACCTGCGGACCACTTATGTGCAGCCCTGTTAATAGATATTTGATAGAGTTTCTGGGAAACCTGGTCTCGTTACGAGAGATGGCATCCACCCCACCTTTGCATGGAGAAGCTCTTAGTTCAAGAAATATGGTTGAATTCATTAACACTCCAATACTGTATATGACTACGCAGAGTTGGGATGCAGAAGCAGAGTTGTAATATTATACCTCTCTGCAGTTTTTGTCCTCCTGTTACACTCACCTCCAATTAAATGTGGAGTGTTATACACTGTCTCTCTTCTACGTCTCTTTTAATAAATTATTTTATATTTAATCAACACACTTATTCTGGCTTCAGTTCATCTTCAGTTAATTCTGTATCAAATCTACCACTAATGAGGCGTCCTTAAAGTCACCACTTTTTAAAATAATATTTTAGTGTTACTATCCATACAGGTGAGGAGAGAGGCAGAAACATGCTGGGATTTGCAGATATTTAATAATTAGTTCTGCACAGTAACTGATAAAGAGTCCGACTGGTTGCTCTTACAGTATAAAACCCATAATAAAAATACATTAGTAGCAGATGTCATATGCTTTTCTGTCGTATCTGAGTATCGGTGCCCCTGGGCAAAGTTTATTGAATTGCTTTGAAGCACTCCTGTTTCAAAAGACCTGCTCATCAAAGGATTTTGATACCCATCATTTTTTTACATCAGTAAGACAAAGAATTTCTTCGTCCCCATTCTATGAAGAAGTAGAATGTATTTTTCATGTATTTTGTTTTCTTTTTCTTATTTTTTTAAATAACGCAGGACACTAAGAATGATCTTTTACTGCATGTCAAACATGTTAATATTATGTAAGCCGAGGCAATAAAACACGCAGCATGCTGAACTGTAGACTGTAAACCTTTCCCATATCCATGAAAAAACTAGAACTTTGTCGTTACTGTGTTAGTGGTGTAACTTGATAGTATGTGGCATAAGTTAATAACTACAAGAGACATGATCCTAAATATAACTTTAGGAATAAAAAAAAAAAAAAAGATTTTACTTACCTTACAGTTATTAAATCTAGATTCTGCTCTGTTCCCAAGTTCTACTGCTTGACTGACAGCCTGGAGTTTGAAATCTGCTTCGTAACCGTGTCTCTTAACATGTGCCATTTATGGTCCTTATACACACACAATACGGTAATATTACGTTGAAGCACAGTACGTATCACTCCGCGAGGCTCCTGACTACGGTAGCCGTAATGCTCCGACAATCCATCAAGCGGTGCAGCTTTACATCCATCGTATACAATGCACTAATAAAAAAACAAATAGCAAAATACCCCGTGGCTGCTTGTCATTAAAAGAAGTTCATCAGAGATTTACATTACATTTTTTTATTATATTTATTTACATTACATTTACATCACCTTAGTTTGCACTAGTTTCAGACATTGAAAGCTTTCAACTATGAATACAACATATCAGAGCACTACGGGAGACAAAATTTAACTCATTACAAATCAACCAGTTTGCAACATATTAAATAAATAAATAACATTTTATTTATATAGCACCTTTCTTGACAGAATCACAAAGTGCTGCACATAAGATAAAAAATAATAAAAGGGTAAAACAATTCAATTTCAATTCAATTTTATTTATATAGCGCCAAATCACAACAAAAGTCGCCTCAAGGCGCTTCATAGATACAGAGAAAAACCCAACAATCATATGACCCCCTATGAGCAGCACTTTGGCGACAGTGGGAAGGAAAAACTCCCTTTTAACAGGAAGAAACCTCCAGCAGAACCAGGCTCAGGGAGGGGCGGGGCCATCGCTGTGATTGGTTGGGGTGAGAGAAGGAAGACAGGATAAAGACATGCTGTGGAAGAGAGACAGAGGTTAATAACAGATATGATTCAATGCAGAGAGGTCTGTTAATACATAGTGAGTGAGAAAGGTGACTGGAAAGGAAAAACTCAATGCATCATGGGAATCCCCCGGCAGCCTACATCTATTGCAGCATAACTAAGGGAGGATTCAGGGTCACCTGGTCCAGCCCTAACTATATGCTTTAGCAACAAAAGTAAAACAGTCAATATAAAACAGGCAGAAATTTAACCAAAAACAGTTTTAAAAAGGTGAGTTTTGAGTTGTTGTTTTTTTTTTTAAAAAACAACTACCGAGTCTTAATGTATTCTTAATGTATGAGGGAGAGAGTTCCACAGTCTCGGGGCCACAGTGGCAAAAGCTCTGTCACCCTTACTTCTCATCTTAGTCTGTTTTATAGCAAGTAAGATCGGAGATGTAGGGTGGTGCCAGTCCATGCAAGGCTCTTAATGTCAAGACCAGGATCTTAAAATGTACTCTAAATTCAACAGGAAGCCAGTGTAGCTGAAATAGCAATGGTGTCACATGTGAATACTTGGAGGATTTTGTCAACGTATACATAAGGATTCATTCGGTGTTATTTTGCAGTGTGAGTCAAAGTCAGTCAAACAGTGACTGGTGACTGGCTGCTCCAGCCAATGATGCGATTCACATTCATACAGGGAGTGCAGAATTATTAGGCAAGTTGTATTTTTGAGGAATAATTTTATTATTGAGCAACAACCATGTTCTCAATGAACCCAAAAAACTCATTAATATCAAAGCTGAATGTTTCTGGAAGTAGTTTTTAGTTTGTTTTTAGTTTGAGCTATTTTAGGGGGATATCTGTGTGTGCAGGTGACTATTACTGTGCAGAATTATTAGGCAACTTAACAAAAATCAAATATATACAGTGGGGCAAAAAAGTATTTAGTCAGCCACCGATTGTGCAAGTTCCTTATTGTGCAAGACCCTTAGTTATGCTCCCCTCTTTTCACTCCTGATGTGTTTATGTGCCATGCTTTCTCTCTAATATTGTAGGCTGTTACCTTACACTGTTAAACAGCTTGAGATGACTGTTGTTGTCTGTTGGAATTGTCCTTTATAAATAAAGTTAAATTGAATGGATAGATGTTATTATATGTGACAAAGAGAAGATTGTTGACAGATGGATTGTTGTTTTGTGTGTCTGCAGTCTGTCAGGCTGTCTGATCACACAGGAAGGCTGTACTTCTCTGGCCTCAGCTCTGAGCTCCAACCCTTCCCATCTGACAGAGCTGGACCTAAGCTACAATCATCCAGGAGACTCAGGAATTAAACTGCTGTCGGCTGGAGTGAAGGATCCATGCTGGAGACTGGACACTCTCAGGTATGGAGAGAATGTCTGATAGAGGAGGAAGAGCTGGAAACATTTCCTGTGTCCTTCACTCACTATCTGTTGGTTCATGTGACATGATTCATGTTTAAGGTCTCTAGGGAGAACATCTCCAGGTAAAATTTAGTTATCTTAGCACTGTTCCCTCTACGCTGCGAGCCTGCGCAAATACGCACTGCTGGCACAGAAAAGCTGCTGAAATTTAAATGTATACATAAGGATTCATTCGGTGTTATTTTGCAGTGTGAGTCAAAGAGTGACTGGTGACTGGCTGCTCCAGCCAATGATGCGATTCACATTCCTATTTACACAGCTAATCAATGTCGTTGACAGGCTCTGACAGCGTCCTTATGTGCCGACACCAGTGTTTTAGCTAGCAAAGTGGTGTGGCTGATGTGGAGTGAAGCTACACTAATGACAACATGTACAAGCATTGGAGATGTGAGCAGGACAGATAGGAAAAAAAATTAAGGTGAAGTTTGAGTTCTCAGTCAGATTTGTGCTCATCTAATGTCATTTATTTACAATTTTTATTTATGGATATTGATTATTAAATACTGTCACTGGTTTATGAGTAGCAGAAATGCAAATAATCGTGTCATTATGAGTGATGGGAATAACGGCCGTTACTTCTTTTCAGTAACTAGTGATCTCAATCTCTATTTCTGTTGTTACATCGCTGTTACTAACAAGAAAATGTGGTGTGGACTCGTTGCTCTTTTTCTAATCACCGATGGTTGAAGCTACCTTCAGCTTAAAAGGAGCTGGGGGGTCGGGCGCAATCACACAAGTGTTCCTGATTGGCTGAGGAAGAATAAAGTAAACCAATTTCATGATCAATTTAAGATGTGTTGTGGAAGTTTGCCATTAAATAAAGCCTGCAGACGAGCGGTAGCTAACATTCTTGAATCAAAACACAACAGACAACCAAGTTGGTGGAGCCTGCATGACTGCGGGGCAGGTCAGCAGAGTCTCACTGAGCCTAGCATGGCTCTCAGTTAAATACCTTCTCCAGGAACAAAAGGCAGTACACAGCTGTTTCACACTCCCTTGCTACCTCCCAGAGTCCTCGAAGAGACAAAAGATTCTTCCTGTGGAGTTGTCTGCTTCCCCCAACTTCCTTACTAGACCCCCACCATTTGTCTTACTGTATGAGTGTGAGACATGTTAAAATCCAGTGGCACCAAGGCATTAGACAAAATAATGTGATTAATACATAAGTAAAAGAAATTCCTATACAGATGACATAAAAACAAGATGTTATGTCAACCCAAGACAACCCGAGTCTCCCTTTATATATTAAAAGTGTTGACTTCGACTATATAGCAGTTTTTAAATTGTGTTGACAGGCTACGTAAACCCAGAGTTATGATAAAAAAAAAAGTGATGTTTTTTCCTGAGACATTTGTTTACCACGGGCAGAAATGGTAAATGTGGCGTTTTATAAGGAAAGCACTCCAAAGCACTCTCCACTCTACAAATTAGCAAAAACACAAATCAAAAAAAACCCCACCTTTTCCTATTGACGGAAAAATGTACCATGTTGACCAATCAAAAAATGAAATGGCACCATAGCATTTGGTTGTTTAGAAAGAAGGGAAAGTTTTGGGAGTGACAGTGGCGAGAGAGCAGAAAAGAGAGAGTTTTGAGATGAGAGACTTGTGACGTTTGGCATGTTTGGAATCTACAGTTAGTGTGTAATGTAGTCGATAGTTTCGTTGTGTGTGTCAGAACGATGAGGCGACTGATGAATGTTACAGGTGCTGCCAAAAGTGGCTGCACGTATCAGGCTTGTGGTGTTCTCCTTTATCTCATAGTGGACAGAAATAATTT